TATGCCATTGGGTCAAGTGTCACTTTCTTTGTAGCACGATTAGAGTGCTCCTTCTGTGCATAATGATGCGTTTTCGATAGTTGTATTAGATTGATTGCCATTGTGAAATTCATTTACATTTACCATATAAATCTTTATGTATACTTCGAGGTCATCCTCTAAGACATGGTAGAAAAAAAAACAGATAAATTTGTTAGGATGAAACTTGGTTTTTATTTTAATTCCGATTACGAAGCTAATGAGTTTCGCGTTTAGTTTAAAGTTTAACTATTGCCCTGTCTGATCCACATTTTTAAAAAATGCATTATTTCAATACTCATTTTCAATCACACAATTTCATAAAGTAATATTATGCACAAATTTAAAACTTTTCCTTCTTTTTTAACCATATATTTTCCATCACATCACTATTTAAAATACATTTTTTTTCTTAACAATGTGCATCAAACTAGGCGTATTCATGTTTATATAATTTTCTTGAAATTAACTTCAAATTGTTGAATCATATATAAGATATGATAATAGTCGTTTAGTAAATCAAACTGAAATACATTTAAGAAATACTGTAAAAAATCGAAAGGTACGAAGAAACCAAACGAAACTCAAAGCTACCAGCAGCCGCAATTGTTGGACATTTTTGTTGGGTCATTCCTTTTTTCGTTATTCTTTTTCCTAATTGATGTATTTTTACTAAGATTATAGATATGAATAAGTTATGGAATAGAAAGTACGAGGAAAAGACGATTTAACAAGATTTTTACTGAGTTTATTGAGAAAGCTACGTTAACTTCATTTAAAAATTCTTCTAACGACGCAGCACTTCGAGAAAATCATTCGAACAAATTCAAAAGTAACTTCTAAATTTCAAAAGCAACTTTTGACTTTTGGGCAGTAGTAACAAAGTCTGATGGGTTTTTTTAATTCTCTCTGTTGATTCACATTCCCATCAAATTTTAGTGAAATCGCAATGTGAAAACAAACCGAAAAAATGCACAGTATTAAACAAAAGTTACAACAGTAATTTTTCTGTAAAACACAATTAACTTGTAGCTTCCCTGTATGACATGACCACTTTTGGTAAGACTTTTGTGTATGATTAGCAATATTAATATATAGATATGTTTGTACGTATTTATGAAAAGATCCAAAAAGAGGACTATTATTTACACATAATTTAAGTAGTACTACAGTGTAATTTACCTTTGTAAAAGTCGTGGTTAAGATCATGAAGATCACACTAAATTAACCTCTTTCAATGGTTTAATCATAACTCTCATCATTACCCCAGAATACTTTCTATAGTATAATCATTTCTAGTCTGAAGAACAAATCCATGATTCCACCATACCTTCACCTCTTGGTGCAACATTATCAGGCCCCTTCTCGCCGTGAAAACTTGATGAAGAAGCTGGATAAATGAGCTTTCCGCTGGTAGCATTACGTGATAAACTGTAGTTACTATTAACAGGTGTCATCTGAGGTAGATCCCCGTTGTTTGAAGGACTCTTGCTCCAGTTTGTTGCATTGTTATCATCCCTCAATGCCATTTGATCAGAAGAAACGAGATTTGGAAGCCCAGAAATGCTTGTGTTAACATGGACATGACCTAGATTGAATTCACTCAAGCCCCCTATTTTAACATGTGAATGATCATCTGATGGAATTTCCAATGAAACTCGAGGTTTTGATGAGCCTAACATGGCTGAATTGGCAAGTGGGAAAATGTTGGAAAGATTCGAACTTTCGGTAGCCAGTTGATAGTTAATGGAAGGAGTTAAATTATAAGCACCGGCAGATGAAGAACCAGAAGTTACAATATTGTTGTTAGAACTAGAATTTAACAAGGAAGAAGAGGATGCAGAAGATAGAAATTGGGTTGGTGACTGAACTTTTTGTGCAAAAGGCCGCAGCAGATAGGGTGGTTGTATAGTGTCCAAGGGGCTAGATCTCATGCTAGAGGGTGTACCAAAAAGATCAAGTCTGCTTCTTGGAAAAGGCGAAGAAGTGAAGGGTGGCGCTGGGATACCTGTAAATTCCTGCACCATGGTTCTGAAATTGGTGGTGTCTGTGGTTAGCACAGTAGTCGGTGCACGCCTGGAGGCTCTTGTTCTTTTCTTCGGGTTACGCGCAGCCGTTTGATTCTGGCCTTGAATCTGATTTTGATTATCAGATATTGTGTTATCCGTAGCAACCTGTGGTTCACTTGTAGGGTTGTCTACACCGCTAGAGAACGGAACCATATGGGAGTGATTAGTGAAAGAGGCCATAAAATTAGGTGAAGCAAGTATGGGGTTGATGATACCAGTGGAAGTAGGCTCAGATCCTAGTGTAGTAGTACTTTTGGGCCATACCATGTTTGCATTGAAAAGGGAGCTCGGGTTTTGAAATCGTAGATAGTATGAAAGTGGGTCAAACACCGCTGGGTGGTTGGTGGTGTGTGGTTGTGATTGAGACTGCAGTGGCGGTAGTTGGGGATGGGGTTGTAATGGATTAGAAATGGAGCCAACATGAGTTGTTGGATGATTCATCAAAGCGGAAATCGAAGCGGCGCGTGAATCGTACTCTTCATCACCACCACTAGATGACTGCAAACTCCCGCTGTTACCAGAATCCATTTCTTCTTCTCTCTCCTCTCCTCTTTTACAGCAAGAAAGCAAGTTCTACAGAGAGAATAACAATAAGAAAAAGGAAGGAATAACGCAAGGGGCAGACAGATATATGAAGATAGATTTTGCACTACTGCAGTGAGATTTTGTTTGCTTATTGGTACAGAACCATTAAATAGAACCTACTACAAAAAGAGATCTAGAGAGAGATATTTTCAAGAAAGTAGCCATGATTTAAAGCACTGATATGCAAAGAAGACGGTGCATCTTTTTTCCCACCTCCTCGTTGATCAAAAGGGTTTTCTATGAATAAAACCACAATATCTGATGCAATTGATTGTGGCTGAACTGGGATCTCTCTGTTTTTGCAGGAGAACTTCTTGTCTTTGCCTTATATTGGTTGGGGTTGAGTTATGGTTACTTCAAGATTCAAGAGAGAGGGAGAGGGTAAGAGAGGTTTCTTTTCAGCCATTCAACCATTAAGAGAGAGAAACAGAGGCGGCTTCATCTCAAGTTTTCCACTAAAAAGATCAGATGGGGCCTCCATGAGAGAGAAAAAGACTGTCCGTCTAGAATAATTCGAGTTATATAATGTTCAATCGCCCTACACGTACAGGGTTTGCTTTACAGGTACTGAACAGGGCATGACACTTGTTTAAAAGAAAAACAAAAGGGTGGGAATGAAAAGGACCTAAAAAGGTTTATGAATTCATTACATTTTTCTTTTATGTTTTTTTCTCAATTTTCAAAATCATTTGGTGCTATTATATTTTTAATACTATTTCAAAGTGTTTACAATCTAATTTTTTACGTTATTAACAGTCCACGAATCGACCAATCATAACAAATATTACGACGCATTAAAGTAGATAATTTCAAACTAATATTTTGAAAATTTCGATAATATGCTAACTTTAAAAAATTTCAATGATCGTACGCTAATCGAATCAATAAATCGCTAAGTCATCTCAAAACTCGTTTCGAGTACTACATTATACATATCAAATGATTTAAATGAATATCGAACATAATTAAATGTGCATCAATCGTTCATGTTAAAAATATGCGTAGAACTCATATTTTCTTTAATTTTTTTCAATTATTTTATTCATGTTTATTATTTTTGAGCTACAAATTTCTCAATATTATTTACATCATATTATTAAAAAAATTATATGGGCTATGACATAAAAAATAAAATTCAAATGTAAAAATTCCTAATAAAATTATTATTACCATATATGGGGTATGAATTGTTGTACTTTCCACTCAATTATTGTTACAGACCAAAAATTCCAAAAAAAATGATCATTTTTAGGAACTTTTTTTTTACATTAATGTTACTTTTTCCTCGATTATTTTAAAAATAATCTAATAAATCTTTTTAATGTTATTTAGGAAATTTCCTAATAAATTTTTAAATGACACGTCTTTTAACATTAATGTCAAATTTTTTACATTAATGTAAAATATAGTCTCTCGATCATTTAGGAAATTTTTAAAAAATTACTTTTTAAATGATTTAATTTTACATCCAATTTTTTTTTTTTTTTAAAGTCATACCTTATGTAAATTTTGCTAATAAAATAATATAAATTATATTGAGAAATTTATCGTGCAAAAATAATAAACATTAATGAAATAATTGAAAAAAATTAAAGAAAAAATGAATTAGACGCCTCTTTTTATCACACTTGGTTGACACATGTTTAACTATTTTCAATCTTTATTTAGACCGTTCGATATGTTTATGATATAGTTCTTGAAACAAGTTTTGAGATGACGTGTGCGATTTATTGATTCAATTAGCATATGATTGTCGAAAACTTTTTAAAGTTAGTATGTTATCGAAATTCTCGAAATATTAGTTGAAATGACCTACTTTGATGTACTGTAATATTTGATACAATTGACCGTTTTGTACGTCGTAAATGATGTGAAAATTTTGGTTATGAGCATTTTAAAATGATATTAAAAATGTAATATTTTAACTATTGACATCATATAATGATCCCGAAAATTGAGACAAAAATATAAAAAAATTTAATGAATTTATAAATATTTTTCCAACCGGGTTATTCATTTTCATTTCCCTTCTTTTATTCTATTCGTTTTTTCTTTCACCATTCACACGCCAACTTTCTAAATCCTGTAAAATCCTCTGCGAAGTGCGAATCATGACCTGTACGTGTAGATTTATTCTATAACATTCATTCATAATAATAATAATAATAATAATAAGCGATTTTTATATCCGTTTAGAGTGTAAAAGATTTGAAAGAAAAACAGACATGTAGGGTCCGATTGATTGTAATAGTGGAATTTGGGTGGAAAAAAATAAATTTTAGGAAATTGAATTGCCTAAAATTATTTTCTTGAGAATTGTCAATTAATTGTGTTTGATTGATATAATTTTTAACGTGAAAAATATTTAGATTTTGGATCTTTTGATTTTCGTTTAGCTTTATTTTTTATGAAAATTATCCATAAAAGAGATTATTTTTTTTTACAATTGGTGATAAAATTTGTTTCAATTGCCAAAAAATAAAATATAAATAAATAAATAAATTTAACCTGAAAACCATTTTCCCACCTAAAACCTTCAATCGGTGCACGTGTGGGGGTGGGTGGAATTAGTTTCCCATGACAAACAAAATCTATCAAACAATCAAAAAATGGCTATCAAACAGAGACAACCATTTCCATGGAAAATGGAAATTTCATGAAAAAAAAAGGGCTATCAAACATAATCACCGAAGAATAAGAAAAGAATAAAATCTTTAAATAAATAGCAAATCACTTTTTTCAAGGGGATAGAGAGGTGGACTAGAAGCCAAATTAGAGGTGATGGTTGTTGAATGTCATACATGACTTAAAGAAACAGAGAGGTAGCCACTGCCCACTGGCCACCAGTATTACTAGCTATCATCACCTTTCAACGCCAATCCAACTTTTGGTCTGTGTGTGTACATAAAAAATTCTAAGAAATTAAGAATAAATCCAAAAAGAAATATCATGTATACTTACTAGGTTTTTATAAAGTTGATGAATGTATAATTGAAAGTTGTGAATTTTATAAAATATACAGTTAAAATTAATTATTGATTTTGACTTTAATTAAAATCTAAATTTTCATGGATTGTTGATTTAACTTAGAATTAATATATTAGGGTAAATTGCACAGAGATTTCAAACCTTTCCTGTAAGTGCCGTGAAGTTTCAAATTTCATTTTTGCGGGAGAAGTACCAAACTTTTAAATTTAATAGGCAATGAGCGGTCATTTGGACAAAAATCATCCAATTTATTGTTAGTTGACCAAAATTTAAATGATTTGACCTTCATTTATAAAAAAAATGAAAAGGAGAAAATGATATCTTTATGTTTAATAGGAAAAGCATCATCTTCTCCTCCCCCGTCCTCTTATCCCAACCAAATGCCATTCCACTTTCCTGATAAACAATAATAACCTTGCTCATTTCTAGTCACATTAGGGGTGTTAAATGGATCGACTCACGTTGCTGGACTCCACCCATATAGTGAGCAAACTCGAACTCGCTTTTGGGGCCAATCGAGCGCCAACTGACTCACTTTATTAATTTGGCTCGGCTTGTCCCATCAACTTGTCCCTTAGTCAGGCAATTCAAGCCTTCCCGTGAGAGAGTTTTTATCAAAAAATTGCACTTTCATTCCACAAAGTATAATAAAGACGTAAATATGTAAGAAAATGTAAACATAAAAAATTCTATTTTGTTGAAAGAGTTATAACATTGTAAAAACTTTCATCCTTTTATCGGACTTGGGACTGACTGCAATACATAACGGAGTTAAAATTGTGCGCGAATGAATATTTTGTAGACAATTTAAAATAAAAACACATGAAATGTCAATGTGCAATAATGATTCTAAAACTTAGTGTACAAAAATATTCATGAAGGATATAATTGCTAAGCATTTTCAGCAATTACACTCGCCATCTTGTCTTGTATTTGTTAGTTTGCATCTTGATGGTTCGTTAAATACATCATAGCCTCTGATGCTATAATTGACATCTAAGACATAAGTAAATCTAGCGTCTGCAAAGAGAATATTGATATTGTTTTTCATTCATTCATCATCGTCTGAAAAGATTAAAATCATTTACTTTTCTCCATTAAAACAATAAGAATATGATATAAAATATATGTAGCTAACTTTATGAGGGTTTCATTTTGTTTGGTACATTACTACTATTAGAAGGAAAATGGAAAAATGATGACAAATCCATCATCAAGGAATGACAAAACAGTAGGAGGTGGTTGTGATGTAATGATTTTTATTGTATTTGGCAGCATATTATGAACATAAACTGCACATGCAACTTTCTATATCACAACAACTTTCCATGAAAAATGTCACGTCCGAGAAAAACGAATTCCACTTTAATCGTTTTGATTGCAACGTGGAAATGAAGATCGAATTCCAATGTACAACCACTTTAAATTGCATTTTCTTTGTTTTCATGAAAAACGAATTCTTATGAATTTGGTGGATTTTTATTTTCCGACTAACGAGAAATTAGAATTACTTTCCACCTCTACATATCAAACAGATCCTAACTAATAATTTCAGCAACTTATAAACAAACAACCGTAACAAGTTCTTATTTTCAAATTGGCAAATTAGATAATTATTTGATATTACACATGCATATTGAATCTCGATTTTACTCACTTGTAAAAATTTCCTTTTTATAAAAAAAAATGAAAATTCCAAAATAGAAAACTCATTTTCTTCCCCATGTTTATGATGAAGCAGCCAACAAGTTCTTAATTCCTGGAATAGTTTTTGGCAAAACGAAAAAATAATTTTGGCACAGCTTTGACCAAGTCAATAAACCTGAAAACTTCAGAAATAAGAATATTTTGCAGACCTTGTGCACTGAATTTTAGGAAGAAAATCATTACATTTTCTCTTCTAATATTGGTTTTTTTTTTGACCATATATTTTCTGCTCATTTATCCAAGTTTTCTTCTTCGACTTCTTTATTATTCCAACACGCGTTCTCTTAATTTTCAAATTAATAAAGAAAAGGACAGAGATTTAGCTCTGGTTTGACCACCATTCAATTGATTTTTTAACAAAAATTGAGTTTCAGAATAGTCATTTTTTAAAAAATGTGTAGTTTAAAATTAGAAAAAAAAATATTAAATTAATGTATAGAATATTTTATTTTATGAATTTGTGGTTAAAAATAAGTTTGAAAAAAAAAAAGAACTTTATTTTTAAGGGTTGTCAAATAGGAGCTTAGCAAGCTTTTGTATGATTGATGAATAAGTTGAACAACACACTTTAAGTCCTTGTTTGTTGGTCATTATTTTAAGAACATGAAGTTTTTAACAGTACTTTTTGAAGATTGTGTTAGTAAAAAGTACAGAAATTTTTTGAATTAATGTGCAAAATATTTTATGTAGTTAAAATGAGTATGAAAATTAAAGAATTTTGAAATAATAGTTGTCAACCAGATCTAGAGTTCTCTCCAACCATCAAAATTAATAGGTAACTTTTATCACAAATTGCATGTATATTATCTATACATTTCCCTCTTATAATAAGACAAATACATGTATACATACTGTATACAATATAAACTCTATGAGCGCACCTAC